AAAAAACGTAACCCATCAATTTTTTTGCATAAAAATAATATATAAGTTATGGAATCCTGTTGGTAACATAACTATGTGGTAAAAGCACATACAAATTGAATTGTATGGCAAGCAAGCCCATTAAGAAATATTTGCTTTTTACTTCTTTTTTTTTCGATACAGCTCTGTTATTTTTCCTATAAATACTAGAATTATATCGAGGCACAGACAGATTTTGTTCAATACTTGTAACCACTCTTCGTTCCTGCAATAAAGTCTCTTATTTTTTTACCATACTCCAATATCCTGATTTTTCAAAAACGTTCACGTTAACAACCGACGCCTCAAATATTGCGATAGGAAGTGTTCTATCACAAGACGGAAGACCTATCAGTTTTCATTCAAGAACATTAAACTCTGCTGAACGAAATTATTCCACCATTGAAGAAGAACTCTTAGCCATTATTGATTCATGCAAACACTTCAGACCATATTTATTTGGACATAGATTTCTGATTGAGACTGATCATAATCCTTTGGTGTGGTTATCAAACCAGAGATTAATTAGATGGAAAATCAAACTTGAGGAATACGATTTCGAAATCAAATACAAAAAAGGCAAAACAAATTTAGTTGCTCACGCCTTAAACCGAATCCAGATAAATGTTCAGGATTATCTCGAAACCGAATCAATGAACCCTAACGCACCCGAATCAGAAATGACTATTCACGAAACAGACAACAGATCAACTAACACGAGACACACTTCGCCTGAATCAAACCCAAACTCGATTCAATTTTCAGACAAAAACTTTTATGCCGGTCCGCACCGAATTGAATTTATAACAGGTAAAAAGAAAAACAAGATCAAATCACTTCCGAATAAGACACTAAGGTGCTCTTTAATTAATCACTTATGTTCCTCATTTATTTTGGATTGTATAAAAAATTATTGTACCCCTGGTATTAAATACGGAATTTGGTACGACGATCAGAAACTCTTGCCCATACTTAGTAAAATTATGACACAATCTTTTTCTGCAAAACATATTGTACTAGAAAAAGCTGCATTTAAACCAATTTATTTAGACAAACAAGAAATGAAAGACGAAATAACTTTGTACCATCATAAATTTCACAACGGAATTAATGAAACTTATTCTCATTTCCAAAAGACTCACTATACACCAAAACTTAAAGACCTTATAACTGACATCATTAATAAATGCGAAATCTGTTTAAAAGCTAAATACGAACGAAAACCTTACAAAGAACCAATCCAAGGCCCATTTTTCAGTAACAAACCATTCCAACTAGTGTTCATAGATATTTTTACTATTGAATATACTAAATATGTAACTTTTATAGACCACTTTAGTCGATATGCCCATGCCTATCAGACCATGTCACGAAATCACGTTGACATACTATCTAAAATGAAACATTTCTTTTCACATCATGGATTTCCAAAATCACTTCATGCCGATTATGGAGAATTACGTTCAGAAGTTATTAAAGATTATTGTAAAGCTCATGAAATACATTTGCACTTAGGAAGCACCAGCAATCCTAGTTCTATTGCACCAATTGAACGATTACATAGTACCATTGGAGAAAAATTTCGAATCCTAAGACAGACTCGAAAAACAGACACTACTACTGACCTAATGACTGACGTTATATTAAATTACAATCAATCTGTTCATTCTACTAGAAAACATACACCTTTTGATTTATTATACGGTAGTACTGAAGACCCTTATTCATCACATCTTAAACAAATATTAGAAAAAGACAAAATTAATGAACAAATCGCTCACGATTCTTATAATCAATTAAAAAAACAAACAAAATTAACGTATCTAAGATGCCCGTTTTAAAATCTCCGATCTATATCAAAATCCCAATCAGACAAACTAAGGACAAACCGAAATACCAAAAACATACTATTTTCAAACAACAAGGAAATCAAATTTTAATAAAAAAGATAGAAAACACATGCTGAGACGAATCAAGCCTCAACGTAAAAATCCTTTACAGAGCTCTACCAGTCCAATGCCTACCAATTCGAGCGCTACTGATGAACCCTCTGCTCAAAGCACCTCCGGTAATCAAACTGCCGCTAGGAAATTCAAGATTAATTGAAAATCGTCATAAAACTCAATTCCTTATTAATTTAAATTATATAACCAATCCAAAACTACATGAAAATCAACACGCACTGAATCTACAGAATTAAAAAGTTATTTTCTTCTGTAAAGGTTTGCAAGGCACTTTTTAGCACAATACTATCAATATCCAAGAAAGCATAGTTTCTGTTACACAAAATATGGCTTTTCAAATGAAATTCTTCGAGCAAATCGCACATCAAATAAATTTAAATTCAAATTAATCATTTGAGCGTCCTATCCATTCTTTCATTAAATCATAGGGAAATAAATATCCTCATTGAACATTTGCAAACTTTATACCATAAAGATCATCTGTTAGATTTCGAAACAATGCACCCTCTTGAGATATTGAATCTTTGCGAACTATCAATTGTAACCTTGCGAAATGAATCATATTCGTAATTCATGTACCTCTTCTTGACCGTAAAAACTTACAGTGATTTTGAATTGTATCCGTTAATTATAAGGAATGAATTAATAAAGATCCCAAGCAATTTTACTTTGTAATTTGAAGAAGAAAGATTTTGCTCCAATTCAATCAAACTAAGTAACAATCCGCATTTATGTTTTTAATTACTAAACAGGCACATGTAAGCCATCTATGTTGGAAAATTGTCCTCATATTCACTTAAAATACTATTAATACTGATATTTCAATTGATATTAAAGACTGCAAGAAGATTGAATTATCATTGCCTTTACTTGAAAGTAATTTTAGTTTTTTAAATCCTTCTTATTACCAAAATCATTTGGAAATAATAGTTCATACTAAGTTGCAAAACCCTTCTTACGACTCTTACAGCTTTGGAACCATATTGTAACTGTAAATTAAATTTTCTCTAAGTTGGAGACCAACTTTTCGTAGGAGGGAGGAGTTATGGAATCCTGTTGGTAACATAACTATGTGGTACAAGCCCATTATTCCAACAAATTGAATTGTATGGCAAGCAAGCCCATTAAGAAATATTTGCTTTTTACTTTTTTTTCGATACAGCTTTGTTAGTCTTCCTATAAAGATTAGAATTATATCGAGGCACAGACAGATTTTGTTCAATACTTGTAACCACTCTTCGTTCCTGCAATAAAGTATGTTATTTTTTTACCATACGACGTGTGCATTCTTTATCTTATATTGCTCAATAAACTAATTGTGATAGCCGGAAAACAAGTGTTTTAGGATAAACAGTCAGAAATTCTCAAAATCTACTTAACCAATCTACTTCAATTTTGTTGTGGTTATTAAAAAGTTCGAATCCTACGAGTTTGAAAAATCTGAAATATCTGCGAGGAACCATCGTCGCATTACCAAAATGAGCCAAAACCTGGAGTTTGCCTCGGTTTTCAACAATAACTTTTTTGCTGTTAGTCGGATCTTTTTACGTGTGGTCTCATTTTGTAGGACTCATAAATACCTAACGAGGTTATATAAAGCGTTTTTCCTTTCCTGTCAACACTTTCGACTGAATCCCAAAAAACACGTTATCACATTCTTTGTTGTCGAATAAAAAGTTTTTCCACAAAAATTGGTTAACCCATTTTATGCGTCAATGTTTTGAATACCCCCTTGAACAACTTGTACCAACAAAATCGGGCGTTACAATTATTATTTCGCAAACCAGGGGTATTTTCGTCTAACATGATTAGACTACATGGTATGCGTGCCAAATAAGACAGCTTGAGAACAGAAACACAATAAGCAATTCTAAACCTAAAATGGCGGTCGCCGCAACCGGTCGATTTACATTTTTTACAGTCACTCCTACGTTATGGGTATCAAATCAAGATGATTGATGAGAGAAGCACAAGAAGCATAGTGACGTCATTCTAAGTCTAATGTTTCGGATGACGCAAAAAGGACATTTACATTCTCCACAGTCACTACTATGATGTGAGTATCAAATAAAAGGGCTTGATGAGAGAAGTACAATAAGGGAAGTAAATTTGAAAATAATTTATTCAGATTAACTACAACTATAAAGAAACTCCTCCATCTCAAGTTTTCAAACAAAAGCGTGTAACATGCTCTTCCATCCTGCTGTCAAAATATCCTCCTGAGACCTAGTGTCCATTTAATCGGACACTCAGGTTTTATTGTATATTTTCGCAAAGAACAGAATTACAGCGCCTAGTCCTCGGTACATTTTAGTGGACATACACGCCTACGTGGCAACGTCGCTGCAGCTTGGTTCAGGCGCATTTACTAGTGATCATCGGGACTATGAGCACGTGGTAAAATGGCATCACATTGTAGCTCCAAAATTGATGGTAAGTACTTAAAATTATGGAGTTAATACTGCATTGCTTGTAACTAACATGTAGCCTAATGTGTAATGCATGCATCTGAGTGTTTGAAATATTTCATTTTTTTTTTGTTTTTGTATTAGGTGCCGAAAAGGTCTATGTCCATTTCAATGGACGTTGGGTCAATAAGCCTACACTATTTTACCATTCTTGATTTTTTGCTTCAGCTATTTTCGGAAACAAGACTCATTTAATTCCTGGCCAAGATGATGAAAAATTGCTACAGTATCTGGAACTGTCTGTCCTGTCGGACTCTTACTCAGAAAACGAATATGAAGACATTGCGTCAGATAAAGATTTTCCTGATCTGAGACATGAAGACGAGGGTCCTTCAGTTCAAGATCCAGAAGCAGAACTACTGTCTGAGAGTGATTCAGAAGATGAGCCACTGAGTAAACTGAGGAAGGAGCTCCTTGAAGAAAAATCTACCAATGACGGTAAGCAATATGGAAAAAGATGGGCATGTTTGTTCCTCCAGCTGTCAGATTTTCTGAGCCTGAAGACAAAACCTACGAAAGGCGAGACTGGAAAATAGAAAATTACATCAGCATGTACTTTGACGATTCTGACTTTATAGATATTTGCCACTGTACAAACGTTAGATTCCTTCAGGAGAAAGGCAAGCCTATGAACTTGACAGCCGAAGAAGTGAGACATTTTTTTGGTTTTTCAGTTTTGATCTCTTGTCTTAAGTATCCCCAAATTAAAATGTATTGGGCTAAAACGACGAAGGTTAATAGTATTGCTAATTTGATGACACGTGACAGATATTTCCAAATTAGGAGTATCTTGAAAGTAGTAATCGATGCTGATGTTCCGGAAAATGAGAAAAAGGCTGATAAGCTCTTCAAAATTCGTCCTCTGATTGATCGGATTAAAAAAGGTTGCAAATCACTCCCACGATGTCAGGAGGTTGCTATCGACGAACAAATGATTCCTTTCACTGGAATGTGCCACATGAAACAATTTGTTCGTGGCAAGCCTAACCCGGACGCGTTTAAAAATTTTGTTTGTGCTACTCCCAAAGGCTTGGTATTGGACTTCGAAATTTATCAAGGGAAAAATACTTCCCTTGATAACAAAGTTACAAATTTGGGAGTGGGTCCATCTTCCGTTGTTAAATTGAGTGAAACGTTGTTAGAAAGAACACACATTTACGTGGACAGATATTTCACTACCCTACCACTTATCGAGTACATGTTAAATACTAAAAAGATGTTACTGACTGGCACAATAATGAAATCTAGACTGCCAAAAGCAGCTAACTTAACATCTGATACTATGATGGCTCGATTAGGACGTGGTTCCTCCGCACAGGATGTAAGATGTGATGGAAACATTAACATTGTACAATGGTATTTTATGAAGTCAGTCATTTTAGCCTCATCTTCTCTGCAAATAGAAGCTTCGGATGACTGCAGACGTTGGTCAAAGAAAGATTCAAAATATCTACACGTACCTAGGCCGAACATTGTCAAAAAGTACAATGAGTGCATGGGCGGGATTGATTTAATAGATAGGATGATAAGCTACTATCGAATAGGAGCAAGAAGTAAGAAATGGACAGTTAAATCGATATTCCATCTATTCGTCCTGGCAATTGCAAACTCCTGGATATTTTATCGAGATGATAGGCAAAAACTTGGGGACAGAAAAATCATGAAGTTCCTTGAATTTAAAGTCGCTGTAGCAGAGCTTTTATTGAAGAGTGATAAGTCTGAAAACTATTCAACAGGCATTTCAACATTAGCTACTAGGAGCTCTTCAGGTCCTAGACCATTATCCCAAAGCTATTTTTTACAAAAAAATAAGCCAATCGAACACTTTCCGGCATTAGCCTCCGATTTGAAGAACTCCATGAGATGCAAAAATCAAGGTTGTAAACAAAAAGCAAAAGTGTTTTGTGAATTTTGCGATGTTTTCCTTTGTCTGACAGGGCACAAGAACTGCTTCAAGGAGTTCCACTTGAAATAATTTTGTATAGATTACGTACTGTTGTCCATTTAAATGGACAGCAATCTTTTATGTGAAAATAAAAAAATAAAAATTTGAAAAAATCATGTGTTGTTTCTATGTAAAAAGTATGACGAATACACATTTTTTTTCAAAAAATAACAAACTGACGAGACTCGGGTCTCAGGAGAATAAAACAAGATTTTATTCTAAAGCTCGGGATGAATGAGCTTCATTATCGTTTAAATATTTACAATCGGAATAAATTATTTTTAACTTTATTAGCAGCTAGATAAAAGCTCCATTTCTGAAAAAATATTCTCATCCTATTTATTTTTTACTTCTTGACATGTATGATATCAAATAACTAGTTAGGTGATTTCTGTATAGTTTTCATATATTTCATTAATAGGACTCTTACTTCTTTTATTATAAAATTTGGATGCATATAAAACATATAACGATAACCTTACGCTTCAGTTTCAGTTGAACTATTCTAGGCAAATTTCATTCTATTAATTTTATTATTTTAGCAATAAGAAGCCGGGGATCGCGCGATTAAATGTTGAAGTGTTTTGTGGATCACATATGTTAAGTTTGTAGGCATATTATTTTGAATCTAGAAGGCATAACTACACACGTTTCCTTGAATCGCGTTTGATGACTGTTGTTAATAGAATACAATTTGGAATTTTTTGCATTATACTACATACGGTAGAAGGGACATCGCCAGCAGTCTAAAGGTCGACATTTTCTATTATTTTTTCCGTTGAATAGAATCTCTTTTTGATGAGCATAATCTTTAAAATCCGTTTCTGATCATTTTTAATTTTCTTTCCAATTACTATTCATAATATGCTAGTATCCAATAAAATCGAAAATGGTCAACAAGTAAACAAGTCATGTGTATATATTTATAATTCAACAAACTTTTGAATTATTTCTTATTAGGTATGCTTTCAACGTGAATACTCTATTTTAAATTAAATCCTTTAAATCCTTAAAATTATCAATTGGTTGCATCTATTTGTAAGTGTTCGAATTTGGAGTTTACTAAAGTTTGAGGGAGATCTATATTCACAAAAAAACGCTTTAAGCCTTCATTTGGCTTTTCCGTGTTTCATTCTTGTTTTGACGTCTCCAGTATTATTGTGCGAAGGAAGGATTAAATATGGATAAAGTGGAGATAATAGAACAGAGAAGCAAATACAGTAAAACAATACTACTATTTTTTGTAAAAGTTCAACAAAATGTCTTAAACCTTTATTTTCTCTTCTTTTAACAGATTAACATTTTCAACGGGAAAGGTGGAATCTCTTCAACCGAGAACAACACATCTAGTGGCGAGTATAAGAAATGACAGGCAAACATTAAAACATGAATAAACCTCAGAAAAAAATCATACAGGCTTGTTAATATAGCATGGCAAGTTTTATCACGATTCTTAGAAAACAGTGCATAAAGGTCCAGCAATGTACAGTTACCAAAACGAAGGTGGTTGTAAATTTCTATGGCACTGACAATACTAATTAAAGACAAAACAAGAATAGACATTTAATAGCGCTCTGGCGAGATTATACTCCTTGATATACTGAAAACGTTCATTAATGTCAAATTTCACTGATCTAGCAGATTTTCATAGCAGAACGGATTTATATTTTCCCTGCGAGTCCAAACATGTTTTTTTTTAAGTAAGGATGTAACAAGAATTTCTCAAGAAAAACATCAAGTAAAATCAGATTCCCAGAAGAAGAAGTGAATTTTAAATTATAACCCATATTTGTGATTTTTCTAAAAACGATCCTCTAATTTATTTACTAAAGGAGCTCTTTACTTTTAGGTCGAAAAGTAACAGAGATACTTTAAGAGCCAACGAAGTGTAAATTTCCATCAAATGCGAGTCTCAAATTGATGAAAGCAATTGCGTATCTAAAAGATTTCCAAAATATCCGAGTAATGTAACTAATATTAGTTGTGTCGTACTACAGTGTATAAAATATTCACAAAGTGTGAATATTAGTTATTGAGACACTTAATAAGAATCAGTTTCACAAAATGCGATATTTTGGTTTCCTATGCTCATTTTATTCAGACATACAGGTATATGTCTTAGTACATGGCCAGTACGGCTGAAAACATCTAATCATCCGTATCTTATATACTATATATCTCAGAACGGTATACCACTTAGTGCTATTGGTCAGAATAACAAAATTCCCATGCTCATCAGTTCTTAGTGTTCAGAATCTTGTTGACATTCCCTCGTATTTTTAGGTGATTTTCTAGTTAAACCCGTCTTATTGGAATTTAAAACCCTTCGTGCATTGAAGTGAAACTCCCCTCATCTCTGCCCGTCGTGAATTATGGGTTTTCCCAAATATAATTAAGGCAGCATTAGAAAGACCTGTATACTAACTTATTTGCCTATTTTATAGTTTATGGCACTTGTCCTTTATTGTTATATGTCTTCTGGTGGGAGATTAGGGATTAGAACAGACTAGTTAACTAGATTACAGGAAATATGAAAGCACTGAAAATCTCGGAATAGGATTAGGCTGACTTAAAAACCAGATAAATAAACGGAATGGGTTGGTATAATCTGTGTGAACAAGTTTAGTCATTAAACGTTTAGAACTATTTCATTTTCATAATATAAATATAGGCTGATTCTAAATACAACTGCAATATTCGTAGGACATAACATATAATGGAAATAACACGATAGCTTCCTACGAGTATACATGTAGATAATAATAATAATAATATATCTATTTGCCATTTTATATAGTTTGAAGATACATAAAATGTTTGCAAATAAATATTCTAGCGCTCACATAAGGCACGCAACTAAAAATATCCATAATGAAGCAATTCAGTATTATTAACCCTTTCATATTATCATTTAAATAGTAAGTATTTTTCATATCAAAATGTTGATGCACTTTTGTTGTAGGCATTTTTTAATCCAGTCACATTTACTTGAATAACTCCAAGGAAGTTAAGTTGCTTCAAATCCTGGGGTATCAGGTCATCAGGTCATATATTGCCCTCTTGTTTAGATACAGGGCGTGGAAGTTATATTAAAATGAAATGCAAAACAAAATGTATCTACTGAATGGTTAAATATTCAAATCGAAAATGTTTACATGTGGTTTACATCAGCAATATACTCAATATTTGGCTCTTGATTGCCTAATAAGGGCGCGAAACGTGAACTTTTTAAATCAGAGATTTATCAAACAGAAAACAGATAAATACACAGGGTGTTTCGTAATTGAGTGCCAGTAATCCCGGGGGTAATTTTTGGGTCCATTTCAAGAGGAAAACTTCCTAAACATCCTAACTTTTGAGATATAGGTGTAATAAGGTTTTCAAAAATAAATCATTTGGCTTCATTTATGATACGATTTGATCTCTTGATTTTTTCAGTCCGATTTTTACCTAAGTAGATAAAATCTATTACATGGCTATGACCATGCCGAGGATTTATATTTAAAGGTAAAGCCGTGTACCGGATCAAAAAATCAACCGTTTAAATTTGCTTAGGAATGATTGCCGATTCCAATACTATTTTTGCTTTCAGGTACTGGTGGAATTTAAGAATATGAGGTACATTAAAATTTTCCTCTTGATCCATAGAATGATATATTCCAATAAAATATCTAAAGTAGTATTACAGATTTTAATAACAAAGCGATTTATTAACGTCCTGGATCTCAACAGCTAAGACATTTAGGACATACGGTAGTACGAAGTTTTCTTCTTAAAATGGACCCAAAAAATGCCTTTTCAAATACTAACATCTAATTATGAAACACCAGGTATTTGCGCAACATTTTTCGCCTGAAATAATGAGATATATTTGTTCTCAAGACAAACGTGGTCTCCTTACCTTGCAAGAAATTCGTAGTTGTGATTTTCATTTAGTCTGAAATTACAGGCTTGGATAACGAAAACCTTAATTTTTGTAAGCCTTTTTTTATCGTTCTGAACCTTTTTGATTGTAAAAATTAACTTTTTTGTAAAAAATCTGCTTACGCGCACAAAAAAGTGATCTTGGTTCAAGAACAGCTATATTGGATTGAGAACCGTGACTTCGGTATGTTCCTAAGATATATATCTTTGAATTAAGGTCAATTTCTCAGCTGGAAGTGCTTCGTTTCTTTAAAACAACGGAATTACCTCATTTGAAGTATCTGTGATCCCGAATCAATGTCATAATTTCATAGAACCTCATGCGTTTAAATAAATAGCATCGTTTTTTGTGTGTGTTTCAGGAATCCATTCAAATGTTGTATAATCTAATACAAAAATCAGCTCGATACGATGATTGGAAGCTGGTTGGTCTGAATTATTTACCCAAGAAATAGAGTTCTACAGTTGCGGTTCAGTTCAAAGTTGAAAGAGGATTATCCAGTGAATCCAAAATCACATTTTCCACACCCCTCACACATGACACTTTTTAAGATTAGGTTATTTTGAAAATGCGACATTTCGTTTTCCTTCATCTGTCTCTGTTATTATGCATCGGAGCTTAAAAATTGAGAAAAGAAAGTGTTATTCGCCATAAATTTGTCTATGACTTTTATGGAACAATCTTCTTTAAAAATGTTACAGAGTTGTCAACTAAAAATTATAATTATTGTTAGTTATTTGCTTTATACAATTTGTGTAGCGAAGATAGACTTTTCTGTGAACATGCTTCATATGTTTTTGAAGATCAATCGAATTCTGTACATCTTAAAGCAAAAGCCAGGCCGACGTAGTCATTCGGAGCTCGCGTGATTTTTAGTGGTCGAAGCGTGAATGAACTAATATTCCACTAATTGTCCAAATACCCGATCCGTCAGGTATAGTCGAAATCATGAAACATGCCGATACGTCATCATTTTAGTATGTAGTAAAGATAAACGACAGCGATTTGTGAATATTTTTAATGAAGTCTCAGATATGTTAGACAGAGACAAACAGAATTTTATTGTCTTAACAAACTGTATTACTAATTTGCATCTATCCGACAA